CTACAGCAGGGGTAGGAAAAAAGAAGCTACTCACCTAATGAAATAACTATGGTTCTTCGAGATGTGTGTCCCCGTGGGTGCATCACTGTTGATGTTGGGTTGTCCCAGCACTGCAGATTGGAGTTTTTTCTAGTAGCCTCTGGTCAGGCTGCACATGCGAGATAGGCACCTCGGACTGTTCGTACCTTTTCACTTTGCGCTCATTTTCTTCATGCATGCTCAATTGGCTAGGGCTCAGACCAAAGAAGGGAGGAGGAAGGATGGATCATGGAGCATCCACAGGGGAACATCTCTCAAAGAACCATCATTACTTCATGAGATAATGAAAAACTGCCAACTCTCTTCAGTTGTTTCCCCTTAGTCTTGTGAGTAACTTCCTTTTTTTTTTTGAGTGATGTCCTTGTGGGTGCTCCATTATTGGCGACTACATAGCTGTACTCGGTTAGATGGTAGGTGGGCTTCAGAATTACCATTTATCAGCTGTGGAGAGCACTGCATTAGCCAATGGAGAGACTGTATCCATTTGCATCAAGATTGTGTAGTGTCTCAAAAGTGTAGTTGGACAACCACGTGGCTTCACAACAAATGTCCCGAAACAACACACCCTGGAGGAAGGCTGTGGATGTAGAGACAGCCCATGTGGAATGAGCCCTGTGGGGCACAGGGAGTACTCTGTTTTGTAGAGAGTAGCAGTGCGTGATGTATGGCACTAAAATTCCTGAAATGCACTGAGATTATAAAGGCACTCCCCGAGACCATTCAGCAATTGAAACGAACAATTTCTGTGAGTTGTGGAAGATCCATGTTTGATCAATAAAAAGAAGAAAGCGTTCTCCGAACATCTAGGATATGTAGAAAGCCGTGAGGCATAAGGCTTTGGATAAAAGGTGGGGAGAACAATAGGTTCATTGACACAGAAATCAGAACAGACTTTAAGTAGGAAGGAAGGATGAGGGCAGAGTATGACCTTATTCTTATAAAATATCATGTAGGGAGGTACTGCTGTGAGGGCAGCAAGTTCACTTACTCTTCTCCTGACATGATTGCTAATAAAAATGCAGTCTTCACTGTTAGTAGGTGGAGAGGGCATGTAGCCAAAGATTCAGAGGGTGGTCTAGTTAGCGTATTGCATACCAGCTATAGGTCCCATGTCAGATGTAGTGGCCTATGTAGAGGATTAAGGTTATAAAGGCCCTTAAGGAAACTCATTATGATAGGTGCACAAAGACCGAGAATCCCTCTAGTAGGGGTGTGTGTGTGTGTGTGTGTGTGTGTGGAATGCAGTCAGCACGACCAGGTGTACCCTGAGGGAGGACACTGACAGCCTTTGTTGTTTCAGGTGTAGGATATAATTAAGGATTGTATGAAGAGGCGCAGAAGATGGGTCAATTTGATTGCTCAAAAACCAGGCTGCAAAATGCTTCCAACTTGCACAGGTAAGTATTTTGAGTGGTCCGGCATCCACTATGGAGCAGGATATCCTTTACTTGGACTGAGCCGAGTCTCATCTTTGGAGAACCAGAGACAAGCCATAAGGTGTTTGTGGATGAGGATGGAAAAAGTTGCTTCCATTCTTTGAGAGGAGGTCTTGGCAATTTGGAAGAGGGTAAGGAGGCTGATGAAACATCTGACAGAAATAGGGGACTCAAATCCGTCTGGACCAGGAGGGGCTATCAGAACGGCAAGGGCACTGTCTGACTTGATTTTGTGAAGGACCCTCCGAATAAGAGGAATTGGGGGAAAGACATAATAGAGATGAACGTCTCATGTAATAAGGAGGGCATCACCCAACAATCCTGGTCCCACACCCATTCTTGAACAGTATAAGGGACACCTGGTATTGCGGTGTGATGTGAACAGGCCTATAAGAGAGAAACCCCATCTCAGGAACACAGTGTGAAGAATGCGCAGATGGAGTTCCCATTCATAGTCTATTGCGAAGTGTCAGCTGAAGGTATCTGCAGTGATATTCTTGGCTCTGAGTCGGTATGACACTACTAGGCTGATCTTGTTGTGGATGCACCAGTTCCATCAGCAGATGGCCTCCATACAGAGGGATCAAGAGTGAGTACCACCTTGATGGTTGATGTAAAACATTATGGTGACATTGTCAGTAAGCAGGCAAACCGTAGAACCACAGATGTCTGAAAGAAAGTGCTTGCATAAACTGCACACACCCTGAAGTTCCAACAGGTTGATACAGAGATGGGAAGACCATCTGCCCTGAGCAAAGTAGCACTGCAAGGGTGCACCCCATCCAAGGAGCGAAGTGTCTGTGGTAATCCGGATGGAGAACTATGTCTAGTGGAATGGGATACCTGCAAGGAGGTTTTTGGGATTGGTCCACGAATGTAATGAGGTGAGGACTTTTTGGGGAATCGAAAC